CTGGAAGTCCTTCCAGTTTAATTCCTGCGCATTTACTATAAACTCTTAATCCCAATTGCAATTCCCATTCATCTTTCTTTTTCTTATTATCCTTTTTTTCATCATCAGCGCCATTATCATCATAAAGATTCTCAATATATTTTTTTTTACATTTTTTAGCCCCAATCTCAGAATCTTTTTCTTGTTTTGTTTCTTGATTTTTCTCCGTTTGCACAATAATTTCACGGTCTACATGTGGAATAATTACATAGTCGCCAGCTGGAAGGTTAACTTCATGGTTTACACTACGAGAAGCAAAAGCAAATGTCGAATGACTACAGACTGAGTAAGAAGTTTCACCGTCTTTGAATACATGGAAACTTAATTGATTACTTTTTATAAAACGAAAATATTATTATAAGATGAACAAGTAATAGTGATAAGAAATTTATAATGAAGAGAAATTAATAATACATACACATATTTAGGCTCATCACTATCATCAGGCTGTTGAAGAACTATAATTAGATGACATTCTTCAGGTAAACTTAGTTTAAACATTCCTTTAGACCTTGATACAACATTATAATTAATGCGAGTCATGTAAATAATCATCTCTTGTTCATTATGGTCTGATTGGCTTTGATAATAATTACTATTTTTTAAAATATCCTTAATACATCTAAAACCCACCATAGCAATACCAAAAGAAACTATCACCCAAGAAATGATCGCAATGATTAAAGCAATTGTCCTTATTACACAAAAGGGATTATATTTTTTGTATTCTCCCCCAAACTCATTAAGCATTTTACAACCTTGTTTAAATGGTAATTCACTTAAAATAGTAAGCGCTATCGCAAGTGAAAGCGCTGTGGACATTAGGTTTGTTAAATTCATATTAAATAACTTTTTAGTCACTAAACTGCACTTGTGAGACAAGTGGAAAGACCTTTGCTAATAATTATTATTTTACCAGTACCTTGGAAAATTTTATAGATTTTTAAGTAATAGTATTAATTAATTCTTCCAATAATTGATTGGTTTTAACTTTTAATAGGAGTAGAGTATTTCGGTAATAACCTAGTCTTTGTTTTGGGCCAGATTATAACTAATTTGTTCCAGTAAATTATAGACCAACACTTTATAATGTGTAATAGCTAACTAATCCCGGCAGCTTTTTTGCAGATGGGGTATAATTGATAATAATAGGTTTCAAATTTTCCAATGTAACTATATACGAAATAAGTAGTAGAATTATGCTAATTGTGCTTTGAAGAAATAAATAAATAAAAAAGAAATAATAAATTTAACTGTCTAAATAAAATTATTTTTAGGTTTTAATATTGTTTAAAAGAAATTTTAAATAGCTATTTTATTTATTTTATTTTATTAAAAAATTTGTGTTTATTTTGTTTTATTGAATTTAACAAATTTGTCCGAACTGAAGTGAAGACCTCAAATTTTTATACAGGTTAACCGAAAATAACACAATAGTGTAACATAACACTTTACGTACGTACGTAAGTACGCACTTAAATTGTGAAGCATGATATTGCTAATTTTGATTTTTGTTGTCAGATTATTTAATAACACAAACTGTTTTGGGGCGAAAAAATGGCTAAAAGATCAATCGAATGTATCGCAAATTTGAAAGTATTTTATACAACATAAATAAAATATTAATAACAAAGTTCATAGATATGTATTAAGGGAGTTTTGGTTATATTATTGTGCTGTGAAGGGGTAGATCGTCGTGGGAATGGCTCGGTCAAATTTATTTTACACGTAAATATGATTTATCGAATTTATTTATTTGATTTATCGAACTTCGTGAATTTA